CCTGAAAGTATTTATTCAATGGGGGAAAAATAAAAGAAATCCTCTCGACTTCTTGAATTCAAATCAGTAAGATGCGATTTCCGGCTGAGAATGCAGAAAATTTCACGCTGGAAAACTGAGACGAAATTCGGAGAAATTTCCATCAAAAAATTAATATTTATGGAATATAACTGAAAGTGTATATTTTCGTTGGGGAAAAAACGAGATGTTCTTTTTCACTTCGTTCATTTAAATCACGAAGAGACTCCCGAGTCCCAACTGATATAAGCTGAAAAAATAGAGGCGAAATTCAGAGTAATTTTCAACATAAATTTTACCGTCATTACATTTTTTAAATACTGCACTTTAAAACTTTCCTTTCATCGTGTGCCAAAGGAAAAATGGAGCCAAATTGTTTCATCCTTATTGAAAAGACGGATTCCTGATGGCTCACGAACAGGTGAAAAACTTGGATCTGATTTCGTTACATAAATGACCATTGATTTCCCATCATAAAAATATCTTTAATATAAACAATTGAACCTATTTGAGAAATTAATGCTTACCATAGCAAGAAAAAGACACTCCTCTGGAGCAATTGTCCATCATAAACAGCTCTGAGCCCAACATCATTCTTTTTGTGCCAAGCTGACGTCGACCCTCTCGTATGAGTTCCGCGAATTAAATCGCCATTCATCTGATTCGACCTTCGCAAAAGTCAATCCCATTTTTTTCCGCTTTCCACTCAACTCATGTTTTGGAAGGTATGCCATCATTTGATGTAGAGCCGAAGCAATACACTTATTATTTTTACAAACTAAATGTTGATTTATGCAAGCGAATATACTCACTTTTTCGTCGCAGCGACAAAAAAAAAGGCGCTGTCTAAATTTTTGCCGATTTATATTTTTAACGAAGTAATTCACATTCAGAATTGGCCTCATGAATCCATTTTTAGAAAAAGTATGATTGATGGGCATGGGAAAGAAATTAATTCTGATGTTTGAGACTTCAGACTGCTACGGACTGCTGTTTGTTCAATTAATAAATAGTTCTCCCAGATTCTGTTGGAAAAAAGTGTTCAAATTCTTTCAAAGAAAAAAAGAAAGGGTAGAAAATTAATCAATTTTCCCAATACTTCAAAAATAACCTGACGGAAATTAAATGAAAAAATTGATGAAAATTAAATTTCGAAACAAAATTTTTGAATTTAAATTTAAAAACGAAAATTCTAAAATGAGAATGCTGAAATAAAAATCTTGAAATGAAAATGTTAAGGAATAACTTAAAATTTTTACGTTTATTTTAAAAGCGTCGATTGTAAAACTTTAATTTAAAATGGTAATGTAGAATTTGAACATAAACAACTTAATTTTAAAAGTTAAGTTTGTTTTTTGCACGGACTCGTACTCCTCTGTGCACCAGGCTGTCATGGCGGCCTCGTGTGACACTTTCTTGGCTGAGCTTCGAGAAGAACTGAGTGAGTTCACAGTTCGCACTTGTCGTACTCCAGGCTTAGACGCAGGCGGGTTGTCACTCACTCAATTCCGAACTGCTATTTCAACGGAGTGAAGCCCGTTGAGAAGGTATGAGCACACAAGGTCGTTTAGTAGGTAGTTTTGACCGGGAAAAAAGATGAATAGTCTATTATTAATTTAAAGGTTGGTCAGTAAACATTAAGTGAGTTAAGGCAGTTTAAACAGTTGTGCCCCAAGATGCAGATTAAATTACAGTCCACCCCTGTCTAAAGGACTTAATTTGTGCAATGGACAAGTCTGTTAGGCAAAAAGTACTTTAGAAAAATGCAATTACATAAAAATTAACCCTTTTAATTGTCAATACTAATTTTAAGCCAACAGAAGTCTGTTTGGCAGATTTTGTCTGTTGGGCAGGAGGAAAAACTGCCTATACAGAGCTGGTCTGTTAGGCAAAAATCCCTTAAGCAAGAGGTCTGTTAGGTGGGGGGCCACTGTGCTTCTCAAACTGTGTCCACGTATATTGGAATTTCTGATTTTCCATAATTTCTTAGAACTCAGAAGTTTCAAAATGGGAGCAGATCAAAAATAAAAATTTGAAGCATTCCTATATTAAATACAAGTGACTGCACTTTAGATTTAGGCAATCAATAGATTTAAAATTACATTTTCCTGCATTTTCCATAATTCGCCTATTCTTGGTAACGTCTTGGGAAAATCAGAATACTTTTTAATTTAAAAAAATGCTGTCAGAACAAATATGTAACACTGAAATGCATTAATATCATATAAAATATTAAAATGCCTGCAAATAAGTCTTGATAACGAAACACACACCTGAGGTAAGTTAGCTTATACTTTCTCTTAGTAATTTTATATCAGTTCAAAAAAATATTGTCTTCATTCTCAAAAACCGTTCAAATATTGTGATGGAATTTGCAAACTATCATTCAAATAAAAGCTTTATGAAATACTAAACATCATCCACGAACTCTATGAAATACTGAAATTCATAGACAAACTATAAAATACGTATCAGATGCAGTTTATTTCGAACGAAACATACTTTATTCTCCGGTAAGTTCAGATATGTTTGCAACTTCTCATCCGTTGATACAATTTAAGCGTAAAATTTTACATGAACAAAGGTAAATAAGTGTCATTATGAGGTAAGCACGTCTTAGCATTATTTTTAAAATTTTCTGAACTGCTATCCAGTGGTGATAATCGACCATTTTTCTTTCGAAAGGTCTCAGGTAAGACTGAAGGGGAAAGAGATTGATGTAAAACAGCGCTCATCAGAAAATGGCAAGAATTGCTTCGGCATGAGGTTAATTTTACGATAATTGCCACGTGAACTTCAAACAACCATTAGGGAACTGAGTCCATAAATCTTTTCCGCCTCCATAAAAAAATGTAGGGGCATTTCTTTTTCACCAAAAGGAATTCCTGGAAGAATTAAGCGCAACTTTGCAGATCAAGTCCAGGGGGTTTCGCAAAAATTCTTCCGAACGCAAAATCTTTCAACTCGAAAAAAAAAATTTCTCTCGACTTACCATCGAACTTTTCAATTAGAAATTTATCTTCGTCAGTGGCTGTGATGACAGTCGTGTAAGGATGAAGTCTTCTTCTTAAAGGGCCGGGTCCCTTTGGAGCGTTCAGCTTTTCCAAGTAGTAAAAGCTTGGAGACGGTTAAGGCTTTTGTAGGCGGGGCCGTAGCACAGAAAGTGGGGTTCTATTGAAAAACGTTCTCTCAGCACGATCAGACAATGAAGGAAATCGACACTTTCTGACGAGAGACGGGAGAAACTTTCGGAAGAACCCCGTCATTTTCTCTCCAACCTTCTCGAAAATTCGGTCTTCGCGTGACCTTGCGTAGTTTTTCGATCGCGCAATGAAGACGACCTCTTCCAAGTAAACATTTTTCGACACACTGACGTCAAGTAACTGTGTGGAGGGGTAAAGGAGTAATTACTGTAAAATTTTTGAAACAATCCCCTCATTGTTGACGATATGCTTCGTATAATTGCGTCGACGACGCACTCTGCAAAATATTTATTTAAAGAACTTCTTTTTTTCTGTGAGCGTTGAACACAGTTCAGTTCTTGCTTCTGGAAAAATCTTTCTGCTTGACACTTCAACAATAATTTTGATTTTAAAACATCACTAGCGAAATCTTCAAATTTACAAGTGATACCTTGCAATTTGACCCTAATCCATTGCCAAACTAAGACCAAATTGCAAATTGGTCAAATTCCAAAACACGATATCAAATTCAAAATTTAAGTGCAAAAACGCAAAAAATGGAAAAAAAATCGGGTCAATTTGTGGGCAAGGGTTGAATTGCAAGTTAACCTCCCTGCAAATTCAACCTAAAATTGCGGGATGATTGAATTGTGTGAGGCTGAATTGCTAGGTACCACCGGCATTGTCAAAATAATTGTGGATATCTGTATGCATTAGTAGTATGAGAAGATCAATTACACAAGTGTTTTTATATCACTTATAAACTTAAACTTTGACAATTTAATTAATATGGCAATTCGTTCATTATTGAATTATGGAATATTTAGTATTTCATTAAAATGACAAAATTTTAAAAATCTGAAATATTGTAAATAAATTGATTGTCTCGTTTTGTTGAAGTCGATTCCATCTATTCAGCAAAACGTTTCTTGGAACCATAGTAAAAGATTCACAAAATGAATTTCTACTTCGCAAATTTTATTGTAGCAGAAACTGCATATATACTGGGTCACAAATGAATACAACCAGCCCTCAATTTGTGCCAAGAGGCTGTGCTGATATTTTCTCAATGTCACCACCACTTATTTGTATACACTTGTCAGCCTTTTTGATCTGTGTGTTGAAAACAGGCCTTGAAATGTTCAATTGTTAAATTGTGAAGCTTCCTCAGAACAGCAGCAACAAGGGGATCTGTCCAGAACTTGATCAGTCCAAAACTGCGTAACCCCTTTCTAGAGTGCCCAAGAAAAACTGCTAAACTTTGAGAATTTTCCTTCTCTGATATTCTGTCCCTTTAGCATTGTTTACAATTTGACTTTTTCTGACAAATCCCAGTCCTCTAAAAAATTGCCTGATCCAGAGCAGAGTACTGGATTAAGGCCACTGAGGTAAATTAATAAAAACCAATTTCAATTCCAAATTTTTATCTGAGTGTCTTAAACTGCTGTCATTG